TAACCACGTATCTCTTAGAACATGGTGTAGTTCATCAGAGCAGTTATGCATATACACCGCAACAGAATGGAGTTGTTGAGAGGAAAAACAGACACATTGTGGAGGTGGCAAGGAGTCTTATGGTGTGCGCTTCAGTCCCTGTGCAGTTCTGGGGAGATGCAGTTCTTACAACCGTACATGTGATTAACCATGTTCCTTCACGGACTTTGGGGTTTAAGGTGCCATTTTGCCTCCTTTTTCCAGATGGAGAGATATTTCATATACCTTTGAGGGTTTTTGGCTGTGTTTCTTTTGTTCACATTTTCGGCCCTCATCGCAAGAAATTTGATCCTAAGGCCAAGAAATGTGTTTTTCTTGGGTATGCTCAGAACCAAAAGGGGTATTGCTGTTATGACCTAGTGTCGAGGAGCAGATTTGTCACTATGGATGTTACCTTTTTTGAATCCACATTCTTCTTCTCGAGTGGTTCTCCTCAGGGGGAGAGTTTTGGGGAGGAGAACTCACAATCTATTCCTCTTCCTGTTTCTGTGGTGCCTCCATCGGTTTAGCCAGCACTTGCACCATCAGTTCAGCCACCACCTGCACTATCAGTTCAGCCAGCATCGGTTCACCCAACACTTGCACCTCTAGTTTCATTACCTGAGCCACTACGGGCAGCCTCACAGCAATATCAGTGCCGGCAAATGATGGTTGACTCCACACATCCTCGACCCACACCACTCTCTATCAGTCCTTCTGAAACTCCAGATTCGACAGATACAGTTCTAGGTATTCCTCTTGAGCCTGTTATGTTTTCTGATGATAATGTTTTTGTCCCTAACACCACTGTTGCAGCTGATTCCACTAACCTTGATCTTCCCATTGCACTTCGTAAGGGGAAGAGAAAGTGTACAGCCCACTGCATTTCACACCATCTTTCCTACAATGCCTTATCACCCTCCTACCGTACTTTTCTTTCTTCTCTGGATTGTGTCTATACCCAGGAATATTACTGAGGCTCTCTCCAAACCTGAGTGGAAAACAACCATGCAAGATGAGATGGATGCTTTGGTCAAAAACCAAACTTGGGAAATAGTTGATCTTCCCCCAGACAAGGAGACAGTCGGATGTCGATGGGTATTCATAGTGAAGTATAAGGCCGATGGCAAGATAGAGAGGTACAAGGCAAGGTTGGTAGCAAAAGGGTATACTCAGACCTATGGTGTTGATTATCTGGAAACCTTTGCACCAGTAGCTTAGATGAGTTCAGTTTGTATTCTTTTATCTCAACCACCTATTCATGGTCCTTGTTCCAGCTTGATGTCAAAAATGTTTTCCTCAATGGTGACTTACAGGAGGAGGTATATATGGACATTTCAACAGGCTTTTATGAAAATGTTGGTAAAGGAAAGTTTTGCAGACTCAGAAATTCTCTGTATGGATTGAAACAGTCACCTAGGGCTTGGTTTGACAGGCTCAGAGGGGCACTCATCCGTTTTGGATACACACAGACACTGTTTGATCACACCCTCTTTGTGAAGAGGAAAGATGCGTTGGTGTCAATTCTGATTGTGTATGTGGATGATATAGTGGTGACAGGAAATGATCTAGAGGAGATTGATGATCTCAAAAAATCATTACAGCAAGAATTTGAGATCAAAGGTCTTGGTGAGCTCAAATATTTCTTAGGGATTGAAGTTGCAAGATCCAAGCATGGGATCTTCATTTCACAGAGAAAGTATGTACTTGACCTACTACGAGAGACTGGGAAGCTGGGGACCAAACCAGTAGGCACTCCTATTGATCCAAATCACAGAATTAATGGTGTGGATGGTGAATTGGTAAAGGATGTGGGGAGATATCAAAGAATAGTGGGCCGACTGTTGTATCTGTGTATGACACGACCAGATATTTCTTATGCTGTCAGTGTTGTGAGTCAGTACATGCATGCACCTCGGGTTCAACACTGGGAAGCTATTGAGAGAATACTTGCATATCTGAAAAAACACCCTAGCAAAGGTATTCTTTTCTCAAATCATGAGAATCTGAAGCTAGAATCCTATACAGATGCAGACTGGACAGGATGCTTAGATGACAGGAGGTCTACATCAAGAGTGTGCACCTTTGTAGGTGGAAACTTGATCTCCTGGAAGAGTAAGAAGCAAGCGGTTGTGGCAAGGTCAAGTGCAGAGGCTGAGTATAGATCCATGGCTCATGGTGTCTCAGTACTTCTTTGGGTTAGATCTCTTTTGAGTGAGATTGG